AGGGGTTAATAATGACAAATTATATCAGGGGTTAATAATGACAAATTGTTTAATATTAACCCCTGATTACCTGTATACACAGATGCACGCGCACGCGGACACGCATCCACAGTGACTCTTATTCGATGGGATTGCTCTATATTCAGCACCAGCAGCTATTATGCAGGTCACTTGTGCACGAAGGGTCGTTGTCGTATCAGGTACTACATACTCGAGGTATAGTTTTAGGTTGTTTAGTATTATGTTTATATTTTTATATGAGGTATGTTTAGGGTTATAGGGTTAGGGTTAGGGTACACTTCTGTAGTACAAGTCTGGTACACTTTGTGTATACATAATGCTTGTACCTGTACGTAGTACCTGATACGACAACGACCCCTTCGGCGTCACTTGTGCTACTGGCTTGATCCAATGAACATCATACAAGCAATATTCATGTGCGTGCGTGCGTTTGTGCGTTCGTGCATACATATATATATATATATATATATATATATATATTGATAAGCAGCAACATTTTAAACATTAACAAAATTCTTTCGTATAAAAAAAACGCGACATTTATTTTTACACAGTAGTTAACATCTTCTATCCGTCTTGGGTACATCATGTAAATTCACACACAAAAATATATATTCATCGCACTCGTGTAGATAATAGCATCCGCCTCGTTACGTCTGTCTCGTTAGCAGACGTCGTTAGTCAAAACCTCAGCTTGCTGCCGGAGGAACGGATTTCCTGCACATTCTGGCGAGCATTCCGGTGAGCTGGAGCAGAGAACCAACGCCCTCAGAAATCCGCATGTGTGTGTAGCCGATCTCCTGATAAAAACATAACAACATAGGTGTGCGAGTTACATGCACTGTCATAATGACACGGTGTCAGATGACAATCCTTAGCAGAAGAAATAGTAAACGATGGATTATTAATGGTATAAAAACCTTTGAAAAAATTATGAAAAGAGAATTAAAAAGAATTATAAAAATAGAAAAAGGATAATCAGAAAGATTTTCACCAATTAAAAAGAATAATTATTATAAGAAGTAAATAAGAATAACAAAGAACATTTCGAAAGAACTAGAAGCATTTAAATAAAAGAATTAGAAACAACCAGAAGAATTGAAAAAACGAAAATTCCGTTGATCGCTCGGTCACTTGCGATCGTCGCGACCTTGACCTCGCGACCCCGCGACCTCTCACTGACCTTGATGAACTCCAGCTTCAGGTACTCGGGCATGGCGTGCAGCTTGCAGACTCGGAACACGATGCCGATGATGTCGCTGGCGGCGTAACCGAGGTGCCACAGCTGAGCCATGATCGTGTACGCGCCGTCGACGTCGCCCGCGATGCAGCACTGCAGCATGTCCTTGATGAGCATCGGATGCGGCTCGTCGCACACCTGCATCGTGTT